CATTTGAAGACCCTCCAAGAACTGGTTTTCATTTTTTTGATGAATCAGAAAGGCATTTCATATCAAATTTTATACAGCTGTGGAAAAATCCGTAATATCCTAACATCAATAGCTGTGCTAGTAACAACTATGTTATTTTTATTGTATAAGCCAAATGGTTTTGTCACTAAAACAGACTAAAAAGAAATAGAGACAGAGATGCTTAGTTCAAATCACTGTCATAATATCTAGCTCAGCAGCAGTTTGAACACGAAAGACTAGTTCAAGTACAGTTTAGAGCTAGGATTAGCTGCATACTAGGTTATATTAACTTAGTATTATGTTTTCTTAGTGTAAATCTCAAGGCTAGTTTTAAAATGATCATCCAACAAAAGGAAGAACAGAAAAATGTTTCAATACATAAGCTGACTAAAGATGATAAAATGACATTGTTGGAGCACAGTGCTACATGCCTCGAGCTGTTTAAACGGTGAAATATTTGCAAAAACTGATGGACAATGCAGTCTTCAGTGAGCTTTACAATTCAACAGAAAATTCAGGCTTCTGCTTCATCATTTCTCTTGGCACTTGGTTCGGATGGTCAACCATGCTCCCTGTTAGACAGATCATCTTCCTTTTCTGAACTTGCCTATCTTGCAGCTACCATTTTATCATTATGCCTCTGCCTAGCAGGGATTTTCAGTCTGATATATTATTAGCACATGCTTAATTGTTTTGCTGAATAGGAGCACTTCGCCTGTGTTCTTTCGTTTCCAGTAATATACAGCATCTTGTCTATGCTTAACGAATGAAGAAGATAATTCTCAAAAAAGAGGCTAATTCTAATGCTTTAAATTTATACCACCTAATACCCATGAGGATGAAAAGCACTTTAAATTACATTCTGTGTGTTTCACAAAATTCAGTCAGTCATGAGATTCAGGTAACAAAAGGATGAGGTGATAGAAAAGAAAAAGGCAGCAGGACGTCCTGTTATAACAATAGTATACAATAGGCTTCAAGGCTTCTCTTGTGTGACAACACCCCAAGATAACTCTATGTATGAGCAAAACTGAGTGAAGCAATGACCAGATAAAGACTCTTCCCAATCTAAGATGGCATTCTGATGGGGACCTAGGCCAGTAGTGAGCAAAACTGTTAAAACTGTTAGGTAACTTGATCATAAGTGGAATCAGATGCTGTTTTCAGTTTAGCTTCTGATAAGCCTTAGATTCACAACAAACCCATTTGTCATCACTTTCAGTAGAAACAGAAAAAGAAAATGAATGCAAAACCTTTTTTACCCGAACAGGTAGTCATAGGAAGTCAGGAAGAAAGACTTTCACAGGTTGAACTCTCTGTAATCTCTCAACCTAGAACTGCTCTTATACCTAAATGGCCACCAAAATTTAGGATGTGATCTAAAAATGTTGCAGAAACTTCATGTATCTTCTTTATGATGGCACAAGAATATGTCAGCCAATGCTATTGAAATACCTTATTCTCCACCAACATACCCCACTCTCAGACTACCGTTCAGTCTCTGCCTTTGTACTTCCAAAGAGGAAGCAGAGCATGTGTGAGCGCAGAGGATCAAACTCTTCCCTTCACTTTGTCCTTTCCACCCTACTGAATCAGAAATTTTTGTCACTAACACATAGAAAGAGCTTTAGATCATCATGTAAATCATGTAAGTTAATCTTTTAATATGAACTTCAGTCAGTTATTACCTTTTTGGAAAGTAGTATCTAATACTGATATAAGGCATGCCATCTTTGATTTAGACATTTCAAGAAATTACCACTTCTTTTGGTACTTAGCCTAAGTGCTAAATTTTAAGCCTAAGGGCTAAATTTTGCTAATCACTTTCTGTCTTTGCCTACAAGACATACTTGCATTATTCTACTCTGTCTTACAGGTGATCCTTAGGACTTCTTATTTTCCATTTAATGCTTCCCATCAAAAAAAAAAAAAAAAAAAAAAAAAAAAAGTCAAAAATAACACTGACATACCCAGTGTCTGAACTAACAGTAATGGTTCATGGGCAAGTATAAAGCAATAGGCAAACATTCATGTGCATGCATGTAATTTCTCATTTAATTTGGGAGAGCTTCAGGGAGTCAAAGGCTGCATGCTCTCCAATTTAGTGCTTTTCAGCAGCTCTCTCACTACTGATCTTACAGGTTTCTCAGCAAGGATAGAAATACACCCGGTGTTGGCACTCTGATCCCACCACTGTTTTTATTGAAACCACTTCTCCAGGGAGGGAGGAGGAAGAGCGGCCATGACCAATATTTGTTTTGAATGTATTAAAACAATGCTTAAAAGCATCTTCTGTTGGAAGAAGTGATAAGGAAGAAACAGGAGGAGAAAGTTAAGTTCATCTAAGACGTATGGAGGAGACAGTAATCTAGAAGCAGAAAATGTTAAGGAATTTTTGATGGGAATAAGAAATGATGAAATAAAGGATGAAATTTAAGGGACATGAAAAAGAAAACAAAATAAAAAGTAATTCCAGTATTTGGTGTAGGAAATAAAATGGTAAATGACATGAAGTAAACAAGAAAAAGATCAGAATTAACAGATGTTAGGAAAATCTCTCCAGCCTTTAATAGCATTTTTTCTGGCCTCCCATTGCATGTGTGGTCCTCAGAGCTGTATTAGAGCCAAACATTTAGTAGTAAATATAAAAATTTTCAACAACATGCACAGAGCAACAAAAAAAAATTATAGCTCATGCACTCTATGTGTATGTAACTTGCTTCCATTTAGAAGTTGTGTAACTACTGTAGGCCTGATTCTTCTCATGTACATTCAGTAAAATCTTTTGATCTCCTGAGACATTGTATAGATAAAAGTCCAGACCAGAATTAGGGCCGTTCATCCAAATGCATGATAAAAACCCAGTCCTAAGCTGAATATATAATATTGTATTATCTGTTGTACTGAACATACTCAGAAACATCAAATATCAAATAAATGCTATTTTAATAGCATTTAACTATCTCCATTGTCATATACAGAACCTTTTCTCTGTGGAAGAATCCTAGAGTTTCTGACAGACAAGAGTGCATCTTTGAGAGTGTTGTACATCCAGCCACCCTGGTGAACAGGGCCTTTCTTTTCAGAGCTCCCCTTGCACACTGGAGCAGGGAAGCTCCAAGGATGCGCTGGAGAAGAGGAAAGCAAAGCAGGAGTGCAGCTCACCACCTGGCTCTACCAGCCTAAGTGCACCACTTCCCTTTTCCACTCTCAAGAAACCACAGCCCACCAACTTTGAGAGTGCCTCTTTTCTCCAACTGTAAACAGCAATTACAGATTCAAAGGAAAAAAAAAAAAAAAAAAAAAAAAAAAAAACCAGCTCCTACTGGACTCATTCCCCTACTCTCCTCAATTATCCACCCACTGCTTATCAACCCTATGAGGCCTCTAGCAGCCTGGTTAACCTACTCCCAACAGCGTTGGGAAATAAAACATATTACAGACTCTTACACTGAATGTGAGGCTTCCTGAGGTCATGGAAACCATATAAATACAAAAAATACAGAATGAAAATGTATAACAATAGTATACAATAGGCTTCAAGTCTTCTCTTGTGTGACAACACCCCAAGAAAAGGGTGTTCTTCCTTTGCTGATCTTTACACCGGACTTCCAGATAGAAAAAAAATCTCATCAGTGAGAATTCACCATGCACACTATTAACGTTACATTGTTGTACTCAAAATATTTTTCACACCAGAGGGAAAATGGTGCTTCTTACTGACCCAAAGTGGAGACGCCATAAAAGCAGAGTTTAAAATTAGCAGAATTCTATTTATTCAGTCTGTGGCCAAAAAGGAATGTAGTCTCTCTGCTTTACTGGTGAAGCTGTGACTCAAATGTACCAAGTCAAAAATATTTAACTAAAATAATTCTAAGTAATCCTGGGATGGATTAGCAGAGGTATGGAACTTGAAGAGCTGAGTGACTTCTCTGAATGCATTATACATACTGCATGCGTCTGTAATCTAAAACCCATTTGATTTAATTTATTTTGTTGCTACTTTCTTTTTTTTCTCTATTCCTTTTGTTATTGTAATTGGATTAAAGGCTTTGCAATTGAGTCAAAGGCAGATCTAGCTTAGTACAAATGTTCCCAACTGTAGTTAGTGAAGTTTTTGGTGGTGGCCCGTGGAGGCTCACAGACAAATGGTCCCAGTACTTCCTAATTCTGAGATTCATTAGATGAGTCTGAAAAATAGACATCTCCTGCTAACTTTTAAATGGATTGCTGGAGTAGCCACAGCACTAATATTTCTTGGCCTATGAAATCTTCTTAACGAATCTTAGTCACTGAAGGATCCAGGAAATGTACAGACAACAGTCTGGGACAAGAATGACTCCAACCTCAAGGTAGTGTCACTCTCCCTGACTGCGTTAAGTGCTGCAGGTACTGATACTGCTTTTCTGCTTCTCTCCTTCACCTCCCACTGACCCTTACGAAACTCAGAATTTCCACTTCATGGGAAATGTTGTTTTCAAAAGTTGTTTTTGTTATGAGTTGGAGCACTTATGTTCTCCATTCCCACAAAACACAACCATAAAAGAGGTCGTTTTGCAACATTTTATGTCTGGAATACTGCAGTTCTCCAAAAGTGTTATTATTTTAACGTCAAAATATTTTCCCACGTGAATTCCTACGCAGGGCAGCACAATTTCGCACACTCTATTTCTCCTTGTCCGAAGAGCAGTTTATCGGGCGCAGCTCCGAGCCAGCAGCCGCTCTTGCCCGGCAGGTCCCGGGAGCGCCCTCGCCCGGCGCCGCCCGGTACCTGCGCGTCCCGCGCCGGCAGGTGGCGGCGCCGCCCGGGCATAGGGCCCGCAGGCGCCGCTGGCCTGCCCTGCCCCGCCGCGCTCCCGCGCGGGTAGCGCCGCCGCGGGCGCCCGGCCATACCCCGAGGGCGGGCAGGATATGGCGCGGCGCCTGTCCCGCTGCCGCCCACCCACGAACCCAGCGCCCGCCATTTCGCACTCACTCACTCAGGGGTATTGATCCAGATGATGTCCAGGTGGCAATAGTAGACGCACTCCTTGTCCTTGTAGGTGTAGCAAGTGCAGCGCCGGGCCCGACGCCGCAGGGCGCCGCCGTCCGCCTTGGCCCTGCCGCCGCCCAGCAGCGCCGCCGACTCGCTCACCTCCCGCCCCAGCGCCGCGGAGCGCGGCTCGCCCCCCGGCAGCGAGCGGGGCCGCGGCGGCGAGGACCCTGTGGGGCGGGAAGGCGAGACCCACGCTCAGAGTCCGCGCGCGTCTGCCCGCGCACCCCGGCGCCGCGCCCCGCCGAGCGCCCGGCAGGCGCCGCTCCCGCCACAGCGTCGGGGCTCCGTTATGTCCGTGCGCCCTGCGGCGGCTGCCGCGCTCTGCTTTGCGCCCACGTAGGGCCAAGCCTTGCCTCTGCTGCCGGCTTCTCTAGCACGCCTCGGACGGGGCTGTTGCTGCCGTCTTTGGGCAAAAAACCTCAGCCTTTCTTTGTGTGCATGCATGGGGATGGCAAATAAAGAAAGAAACTTTTTTTTTTTTTTTTTTTTTTTTTACCTGCAGTCGACGTAATTGTAAGTCCAAAGAGGAATAGTAATCCCAGCTCCATTAAACCCGATTTGCACGCTTGGTAAGTGCAGGCAAAGGTGAGCCGTGGGAGAAATGAACCGTCCCAGGAGGAATCGCTTCAGGTTGGCGGCGAGGAATATCCTGGGGCTGGCGGCAAACGCTGCTCGCAGCTCTGAGCTCCCACCCGGAGGTGTGATTAGTGCTTCTCACTTGCAGTAACTTTCCGCCAGTGCAGATTTAATCCTGAAGGGGAGAGTGTTGTCAAGAGAAGGGAAGACCCATCGCCTGGCTTTTCCCGCACACACCTCCCGCCCCCACCCCCAAATCCGATCAGAAACTGGAGCTGCTGTTTTCCAGCTGCAGACGCCTCCCACAGCGGACAGCTGCGGGCCGGGGCCGGGGCTGGGGGCGGCGCGGCCCCCCGCGCCCCCCGCCCGCGCAGGTAGGGCCGCAGCGGCCGCGCATCCCCTCCGGAAGCCGCCACAAACCCCCTTTGTTCGCGCTTCCCCGGCGCCCGCGCCCATTGTTCTCGGCGGGATTTCGGAAGGGCAGATTGCTGGGGTGATAACAGCTCCCGCTGCAGCTTCTGCCGCGGATCTGGTAGCGCTGTTTGGTGGGTTTTTTTTTTTTTTTTTCTTCCTGGACTCTGCTAGTGATTTCCCAGGTGAAATCAAGTCATCAGTTCAGTAATGCTTGCTTTTTCCTGGTTAATTACAGGCACTTCTTTGCCAGAGAAATCTACATAGGCTTTCTAATTTATGGTGAAAGACATGCTTACTCTGTGCAGTGCTTGTCACTCCTACCTGGGACAGTACTCCCACGTTCCTGTTGCTAATATAACTGTTTAAGGGTTAAGGAAATTTGCTTTATCTTTTCTTACAGCAGTGAGTGTGTTATAGCATTTGTAGATAGCACATGGGCAAAGGTTAGTTAGCTTCGCTGTGGGAACTTCAAATCAAGGCAGGATATTTTATTTAAAAAGGTTTCAGAACTAACAGAAAGAGTTGCAAACAATTTTACTTCTTGTCTCAGTTTGGGATATCTTCTGAAATCTCTTTTGTGGGTAGAAAGTGAGTTACAGAGTCCCGCAGATTTTGTTATCCAAAGGCATACCACTGTTCTCCACCACATCACATTCTTTATCCGGCCCTGCCCCAATTCCAGCTTCTGGTGTGGACTGCTCAGTAACAGCACTTACAAGAAAAAAACAAAACAAAAACAAATTAACGTGTCCAGTTCTGTCAGTTTGTCAGGCAGAAACTGCCTTTTGTCAGTTTCTAAAGTCTAAGAGTTTTGTGGCAGACCTTTATCATATTCCTAGCTAGTAACAAAAACATGATGCCTGTCAAAGATTGGCTTCTAGCTAGAAAGTGCCTCTTTCTCAAGTTTTAGAGACCTTTGCTGTCAGTGGACACCTTAAATTGCTTTTGTTTGCCATAGCTTGTGAAAATGACAAGGCACCACTGTCTTTCTCTGAAATCGCAGAAGCCCCAAATGGAGCCTTCTCTCCAAAGCCCAGTCGAAAGGACCAAGATCTCTAAGCCTTGTACTCACTGCAGGGAGAGCAGTTCCTGGAGACGGAGCTTCAAGTATTTAACTTGCGTATTAACAACATGCCAGTACTGAGACAAAGCAGTGAAAATATTTTGGTCATTTTAGTTCTGCTAATCTTTAAATACATTCACTGTGGTCACTAGTGTTCCAATAAAGAATATAGTGGGGAGAAATAGATCCCGTATGAGATACTGTCTTTAGCTCAGACTTGGTAGAGTAAAGCAAGTGCTTACTTACCTTTAAGGGTGAGTAATTGTAGTGAACTGTAAGATTTATAAGTGCATGTTTATACATCTTGCTTTGATGGATTGTGAGTTTGTGTGTATTGGAGTCCTGCCCTCAAAGCATGAAAAGAGTTATAGTTGGGCATCACAACTAGATAACTGCTGCTATATGGAAAGATGAAGTGACAAATCTCCCTCAAAAAAATAGTTTCTGAAGTTAGATCCATTGCCTTATATAAGTAGAAACATCAATTGCTTCGAATCAGGAAGTTCTAGATGTTGTACTCTGTTACTGTTGGCTACAGTACTGGTTTTGACAAATGCTTATGACTGCATTATAACTTATCTGAAAAAGGAAAAATATAGAGATTTATTGTTTAATTACTATTTAACAAAGCTCCCTGCTGCAGCCAATAGGAAGTGCTGGTTATGTGTTGCTGATGCAGTAAATAACAGTGACATGATTCTAAACTCTACATAATAAATTAGTGTTTCTTCATCACAACATGCTTTTTGTTGATAATAATGTAATCCTAGTAATAAGAAGTTAAGAATGAGCATTGTATAACAATTATATTTATAAGATGGATAGCAAAAAAGAATCCATTAAAGGCACTAATATGTTTTGATCTGCCCAAATTTTCCAAAAAAAAATTGTGTTCTGCTTTTTAAATGACATTTTAAGGCCTCCCCTACAGTGCTCTACTTTTTCTTCTGTGTGCTGTTTAAGCTCTGAAAAGCCAAGGTAGGCCGTATCAGCACTGATACAGAGTGCTGTGTAAACAAAAGAGTAATAAAATATATTCTGAAATTAGCTCTCAGGGTTCAGAAATGAAGAAGGGCAAGGTTTTGGTCAAATGACCTTATTTAAGCTGTAAAAGAACATAAGACACAAACTCTGCAGGAAGAAAGACACTCACCAAAGGAATTAATACTTCTCAGCATTGCACTCATTTGCATTGATTATAAAGTTATTTTTCTGTGTCACGTAGTACCTAGTGACTCAAAGACTTGAAACAAATTAAGAATGCTAGTTTAGCAAATAGCAATAAATACGTTTTAAAAATCCAGGGTCAGTTTTCACTTGGGATAATTGTAAAGGGTTCTGGGTATCACTGTCAATTACATTGACATGCGATGCAAAGTGAGCTGTTTTTTCTTACCTTCTAATTTTTGCACCTCCAGCCTGTGCAGGGCCATGAGAGCCACTGCGCTGTGTCCATGCACAGTGGGAATCCTCCTGTGCTAGGCCCTTGTTCATAGGGCCACCCAAGCGACTTCTAGGAAGACAGTCAGCAAGCAGATCCACCTCATCACTGGGTATAAGCATTGTGTATTTGAGAAGATCTTAAAGTTGACTGAAGGGGGAGTACGTCTCAGAGATGAGGTCAAGGCTGAAGGAGTCCTGGAATGTGGAGCAGCTGAAAGAGATGATGTTAAGAAAAGCAAGTTCAGATTCCAGATTTCATATTTGAAAACCTTGGACTGCCATTTCAATTAGGAACACAGTCCGTTTTTTTAAAAAAACTTCTTTGTCCCTTGTATTGCCATTTTACTAATGCGCTCATGTCATTGGGAAGTACCTGGAGACCAATAGAAATCATTTCAAAGTACTTAACCTTTATCGCGTAGGGAACTACAGAGAATAGTCATGAGTTACAAAGAATTTCCAGTTGYGTTTAAGTAAGGTTGGTTACTGAGAGGAACCACTTGCAGCTTCACAGCAGGCCAAGCCTGATCAATACAGATACAATACCAAGTGAATGCATCTAACCTTTTTATTACACTCATACAACATTCATATCTCTTTTCTCATTCTCTTGTTTCCTCAGTAATAATGATATTATTTTCCGTTATTGGAAGAAAGGACTATGTGAGGCYGCAAACATTGTGCATTTAATGGCACATTCTGCATCATTCTCACAAARCAAGCAACTTAATAGATGGCAGCTGAAAAAAAGTGCTGAAACCAGTAGATTCTCAAGAAAATATTATCTTCTAATTATTATTTAAGTTACTTTTCACTTGGGATCTATATTCAGAGGCCTGAAGTAAATCCTGTCTMCCCTCCTCTAGAGACGGCCCTATTCAGGGTCCTTTGATGTCAGTGGAAAGAATCCCATTGACTTCAGTGGCCTTTGAACCAAATGTAGTAAAAGGGCAACAGAGCATTCTGTATGGCTTGTAATTTGGTAACACACTTAAAGGGGGAGAGTTCTGTTACCTATCTCCTCTACTTTTTATTATTGTCAATATTTATATACCATCAAAAATAATGTAGGTATTTGATAAATGTTGAAGAGGACAAATAATGTCTGTTCTGCCCAGATTGCAATTTATTTAGATAAAAGTAAAGCAAAAGAAAGAATGCTATGGCTGTTTTTGAGCACACATATTTAATGATTCTTGCTTGTTTCAGCTATTGTGAAATTTAGGAAGGAGTTTGCATAAGATAACATATCCTGCTGTTGTAATATACTAGAGACAGAGCTCAGATCTCTGGATAAGGAACGCTGTGCAAACCCTAAGTGTTATTATCACGACCCAGCATTCTCTCCGCAAGAGGGAATGAACCTGACCTCACTTCCTGCATCCAAACAATTTCAGTCTTTGCGAAGTAACTGGATTTTATAAAAAGAGAATTTACTGTGACTGTTACCTGAAACAATCCATTTTGTTGAGGTTTATTCAGCTTCTGTCATGTTACTGAACAAGGAAAATTCCATATCAAAATATGAATCTGAAACTTTCTTCTTATGCTTTTGAAGAACAGGTACTGAGAACTGCCAGCAAGTGAGAAGATAGAGACTGGTACCTCAGGTGGCTGTCTTGCCAAAGAACATGGTGTGTTTAAAGGCAAGAAGGGCAGAGGCAGATATCACTGGGAGGGAGAGCTGTTTTCTGAAGGTGCATTGGCAGAAGGAAGCAAACGTGAGTACCAAGGCAAATGAGCATGGGCAGGAGCCAGCCTGCAGGCGATGGGAGGAAGGGAGGAGTAGTGTGCCCATTTAAGGGTTTGGGCTCTGGCTTCCATTTCCCCTCTTCAGAGGCCTAGCAGGAAACTTGTGGCTGTGTGAGAGGCTGGGGAAAGCTGAGGTGTTGGAAGGTGCTGGGAGGGAAAGCAGGTGTCAGGCAAATGGAGAGAAGGGGTTATGTGAAGGTAAGCTGCAGGAAGAGGGCTAGAGAGCCCCAGGGACTTGGCTATCTCTCAGGATACTATGMAAAAAAAAAAAAAAAAAAGAAAGAAAAGAAATAAATGGCC